TACAAGCAACATAATACGGGCTTTTGTAACAACAGTTTCTGGAAAATTTTGGTCTGTTTGTGGAAATGGAGGGCATGAGATGAGAGATAGACGGAGGAAGACTGTTATTTACCTGAGCTGAGCACCTCCACCTCCAACAACTGCCTCTGCACACTTACGCCTCACAATTACCTCTTTCGGAGGCGATAATCATACTCAATATCATGTGGACCTCAACCTTTCACAAATACAACCTACCTGCTCTTAAAAACCAAAAATAAATTGTTTTATTATTAAACTTAAATTAAATTATATTAAAATTACATAAAAAATAAAAACTTTTAAATAGTTAATTTGACATTAACATTGATATATATATTTTTTTTAAAATTTTTATGATATTTTCAAATTTATATTTTATTCAAAAATAAAATCATTATTGGCTTTTTTTAAAACACATAATTTATACTATCTATACTATATTATAAAACATTTAACAAAAACTCTTAAAAATAAGTTTTTATGCACAAAATATTGTTTATTGATGCATATTATATATGGGTCCATTCAAGAATAACTGACTAGTTTGTGGTAACCGTGAGATCCAATCTCAACCATAAATTAATAGATAAATTTAGAAATTTATAGTTTTGATAATTTATATGCAAATATTTTTTCTTTTTAATTTTTATTCATAGACAATCTTTTAAATTTGAATTACACATTTCTAAATAACGATAATAGATAATTTAAATAAATATCTATAATTCATATAATCATTTAATATAATAATTGATTATTAAATTAAGTACCCAATTAAAATAAGCTAACAAATAACAATAGTATATATAAAACAATAAAGAAATTATAATAAATCTATCAAAATTAAATGATATTAAAAAAATCATATCTATATAGTAAATACTAGTATTGTACCCGCGCAATGCAGCGGGAACCATAAATTTTAACGATTTTGAAGTTCCACTGGTTTTATAAGATATGATTTAACGATGATATAGGTTACACTTGGACTTTACATATTAATATAATTTGAATAAATAAGAGTTATGGTTACAATTACAAACTATCGATGAAAAAAATTGTATGACAATTTAAAATCCAATATATTTAAAATCCAACGTATTTAAACGACTCCACAAATGTGTTTGATTTACACCAAGAGAAAAAAACCAAGAAACTTAAGTTTTAAGATAAACACTCAAAACCAATAAAGAAAACTACAAATTCGACATATCATAAGTTATGAAAAGACCAAAAAAGATGAGTTTTAAAATGAAATTTCAACTGCTTACCCTATTTATTGTCTAGAAACTCAAAGTAAAGTTGAATTAATACTTGTATATATATATATTTCAAAAAACTCAAGAATATATTAATTCAAAACATATTACACAATGCAATTTGGACACCCGACTCCAAAATAAATAACTATAAGATAGAATGTTTTGACAACATCATGAGGCGATGGGCATGAGGGTGTAAAAATACCATCATCATGTCATATGTTTTTGTATATTTTAGTTTTTATTATAAATTATATGTAATATATTTAAAAAAGAAAAAAGAATTGGGTTGGAGTTAATGCACTCCCCACCAGACACGCTCGTCACTGTTCTTCACCTTTTCCCAACCTATTCAAATTCTTCCTCACTCCTCCCTCCTCTTTACACTTTCTTTGTCACTTCTCAAATAAAATTATTATGTATTTTTTTTTAACTTTTAATTCTTAAGTTTTTAAAATTAAAAGGGTATTCATGCAATACAACATCATAAATCTTTATTTTAATGTTTTATTTTATTTTTTTCTAAAAAATGTTTTTACTTTTGAATAAAAATTAATTTAAAAATACCAATTTTTTTGAAAAAGTACACTGATATTAATATCAAATTAACAATTTAAAAGCTCTCTTTTTTGTACAATTTTTTTAATTCAATTTAATTTAGGTATAATAATGAAAATGTTTATCTGCAATTAATTATATGAATTTAAAAATCGTCGTTTTAATAAATTTGACTTACGCACAATATACTTGTAATCTTAAATTTTAAGTAATATAAATTAATAAAGAGTACCTTATATATAAAGAATGATTTTTAATAGTTTTTATCAAATGTTTTATAATATAATATGGATAATTATTATTTTTTAATCAGTTAAATAATTATCTCATCCTTCTAACAAAAAATAGAAAAAATAAAAATATTTATGTTAAAATAAATTATTTAAATAGAAAATAATAAAGTGTGTTTGTACAAGAAGAAATGGAAAAAAGGAAAAGAAAGGGGGTCTCCTTCCTCCGGCATCCATCATCACCAATAACTCCACCACCCACAAAGACGGCACACTTCCACACAACAGACCAGACAACCCCTTTTCTTTCGCCGTTTTCCTCTCTCTATCTCCTGATCTCCTCCACCTTCTTGCCGTTCAAAAAAAAAAATCTCCTCCACCTTCTTTTCTAAATGGGGACATAAAGTGGGTAGGTGGTAGTGTTAACACTATGACAAACCAATTGGACAATTCACTCCCTTGGTTTCTTGACTAACAACTTCATGATACAAGGATAAAAATGTCAAAACACTCCTGGAAACCCTAATAATTTTTCCAAAAAACACGTGATTATGTACCACCTTAAATTACTTTTCCATCATTTTATTTTTAAAATAAATATATAAATTAAATTAGATAATTAAAAATACATGATTGTCTCAATATGCGTGTATATATTCCATTCTGCTTTCCACTTACCTTCATTTTATTCAAAAAAAAATACCTGCAAAAATTCTCAAGATCTTAAGCCATGTCGATCACTAACTCAGATTTAAGGTGTTCTTCATAGAAAACAAACAGAGATTTAGATGAGTTGTCGCTGTGGTTGTCATCTTCATCGTCACTCTTCTTCAAGTCTTTCAATGGCAACACCAAACCTGTTACTTCCCGCTTCAAAGCTTCTGCCGATGTACCGAGCAACAATGGAAGCATCACCGGCAGCATAAAAGAGGCAAAGGACGGAGAGAGCCGTGACGGAGCCGGTGAATCCTGCGGCGAATCTGGCGACACTGCCTGAGAATACTGACGGGAAGATTGATTCGAAGGAATAGCAGATCCAATTGAAGTATAAAAGAAATATGAGTGATGAAGAGGAGAAGACAATCGCGTGGATCAGCAGAAAAATCGGTGTGTGCCAATCATCCATTCCGTAGATAGCATAGATATGTGTCCAATCTCTTCCTGTTTTTTACATTTTTGCAAGTTGATTTTACCAGATTCATAACTCAAAAGCAGTTGACGTACAATTACAAGCTCAGAATCTGCCGTTTCAAAGCCAAAAAGCAAACAAAATTAGAAAAAAGTTTCACAATTAAGRTTGTARTATAACAAAATGCTCTCAGTAAACAGAATGTGAATATATGCCACAAATCCAGTCGTAAAGAATTTAAACACCAAAAASGACGAATAAATCTAAAACATGATTTCCACGAAAACGAAATCTGTAAAACAGTAAAAGAGATGAAACAACACTTACGATCGAAGAATARGAAACACGAAGTTCGTTATCGGATCCACAGAGAACGATCCACAGACAGCGCACAATTTGTTGAAAATAAGGAATCAGAGAGAGAGAATCGTGAGAAATGGCGGAGAGAAGTTCCGGCCAAATCCATATATCTCCGGTGATGTAGATCTAGAACCAATTTAGAACTGGTTTCCGTTTCGTTTTTCGTCCGTCCGTTCCTCTGCAGCTTTTGGAAGTTACAGAGAGAGAGAGTGAATGAAGGAGGAGGAGGTGCTGGTTAGGTGGTGGGGATGGTGGTGTTTAAATCGATAAAGTAAAAGTTGATATGTTTGAAATTTTGAATTTGAATTTTGAATTTGAATTTTGAATTTGAAATTGGAAAGTAAAAGTTGTATATTATGCTTTATAACTTGTTCTTAAGAGTTTTTTTTAAATTTATGCATAAAATGGTAGTACTTTGTGCTTTGTTGTTTGTAATTAAGATAATGGTGTAAATGGTTATATATGTAGTATAGATTTATTAGATATTAATAAATAAATAATTAACAAAAAAAAAACAATTAAATTTTTACTTAACTAATAAAAAAAGTTGTCATTGGATGTCACAGATTATCTCAAGATTCTATTTTTTTCTAAACTTCTTTTACACAGTAAGAAAAAATTCAAAGCTATATAATTTTTAACTTAGGGGTATTTAGGATTGCTTATAAAAACAACTTATTAACTTATTCTGATGTGACATTAATAAGCGCTTAGCAGCGACAAACAATAAATACTAAGCTTACGTGCTGATAACGTGTTAAAGGAAATAACGGCAAATAGAGAGAATGAATCTATAATTCTCATTAATCATAAGTCATTTATACAGAGATAAGTTACAAGTAAATAACTACGAGATATTCTTATTTTGATCTCACTCTAATATATCTATCTTTATCTTTATCGTCATATCATTTAGACGATAACACACTTATCCTACACAAAAGCTTCATTATGCAATGTTTCAGTAGCAACAAACATTGTACACGATATAAGTTGTACATAACTTTGGATTTGAAACTTCAACTCTCCAAATTCCCATCCTTAATAAAGCCATCATCATAAATTACAATGATGCCCCTTTGAAATGAAATATGAAATCCTCATTCAAACTCAAGTCATTACATCTAGAACTTGATTACCATCATTACATATTCCTATCTCTTCCATGCTTTCTTCATTATAACTTATATAGATGTATATATATACATATATATATATATATGTATATGTATATATGTATGTATTGATTCCTCCTATCTACAAGTCTACACTCATCTTGTTGATCATTTAGACCTCTTGAAGGATCTTGGGTGAACAAGTGAGAACAGCATCTGCTACTGTCAAGAAAATCTTGTCATCACCAATCATATCAGGGAAACCGGAAGCATATAGCTTGTCTAACACCAGCCGACCAGGGTTCGCAAGAACAAGCTGTTGAACCAACGAATTAAGATTCTGTAAATGCGCTGTTTGAAGGTTATTACCAAAACAAATCAATGGGTACCGAGGGGCTTTATGAGTTACCTTAACATCTCTCTTAAAAAGACTCCTGTACAATTCTTCAAACGCATGCATTCCACTAGTGTCGATGTCGGTAACGGCTGCAAAGGCAAATAAAGCGGATCTAGTGACGAAAACCCAAATCTTGCAAAAGCCAAATGACCGGAAATGCAATGAAAAACTCAAGTTTCTTACGCGACATCTCGATGATCAAGTATTGAACTCTTGTTCGGTATGTTGCTTTTACAAGCTCTTCTTCCTCAGTTAGCCATCTCAATATTCTGCAAAAAGTGCACTTCTTAATCCATTGGTCTTCGCCTCTTGAGGGTCTCGATTACAATTTCTAAACAGGCTTCTATTATAACCATATTTGAAAGATTTAAACAAAATGTTACCTTTCTTTAATGTAGTTGGAGTTGGAAAAGTAGATAGCAGAATCAACTCTCACAATGAGAACACCTGGGACTTTCGTTGCCTCCGGATATTGTTGGATGTTCCTGTAAACACTTGTCATCGGAATCCTTCCCAAAATAGCCGTTCGTGGCCTTGTAACTTGAAGAAGGATCTTAGCAAATGATATCGAGACCTAATAAATCAACAAAATTAAATAAAGATAAAAAAAATCAACCTCAAACTCGCATTTCATCAAGTAACAAGATGCATAGTCTAATTCTTACAGCAATTAAAAGACCAATCTCAACTGATGCGAAAACCACGCCAAGAAAGGCTCCCATACAAGCAACAAAATCGAATTTGTCAATCTTCCAGATTAAGATGGCTGCTTCGTAATCAACTAAACCGACCACAGCAGATATGATGATGGAAGAGAGGATTGCATTCGGGGTGTACTCGAAAAGAGGTGTCAAGAATTTCAAAGTTAGGAGTACGACACATGACATCACTATGTTAGAGACTGCGGTTTGGCAGCCTGCCATATAATTTACAGCTGATCGCGAAAAAGAACCTGAAAACAATCCAACACAAGAAAAAAGTTAATTCACTTTCCAATATACAAAAAGGTTTTCTGACATCTTTTTACCTGTTGCTACATAGCATGATGTCATTGAGCCTACAACATTCATCGTTCCTAATGCTATCATTTCTTTGTTCCCATCGACTTGGTAGTCCTTCATTGAAGCAAAGGTTCTTCCGATTGCAACGGCTTCCTGATACATCAGGGGTCAGATAGAATGTTATTTTATGGGAAGCAAAGACAGTTTTTGAAGGCTTGAAATGAACATACCGTTAACGCTATCATCCCAGCAACGATACCAATCCTAAACCCTTTTAAAAGATTTTCGCCCGAAAAATAAATCTCATTTACAGATGGAGGGTTGATTCCTTGCTCTATATGTTTCACCTGTGAAAAAATAAACCAAGATTATTGATTTTCATGAAATGGTAACATTTTTGTATGGAAAGAAAACGAAAGCAAAAGTTCTTAGTTCTTACAATGGCAACACCTTCCTTCTCCGCATGGGTGATATACACAAAAAAAGTGGACAAGATAACAGAGATTAATGGTGCAACTGCGGACACCCAAAAGAGTTTCTTGTTTTTCTTCGCCTATTAATTTGGCAAATTATATTAGGGTTAGCAAAAATGTCAAAATACTTTGCATTCTGGGAATCATGAACTCTTACAAGGTACTTGGCAGAGAGTAGCAGAGCTAAAAAACTTGCTCCAATAACTATGGTCTGCCAGTTCCACTGCAATTTTACAACAAAGATTATTCATGTGGGATTCATAAACTGCATTGTATTTTTGTGTGAAGAGAGAAAGAGCTTACTTACCCCATGATGAATAGAGCCGAAAACCGATTTCATTACAGAAACAACATCAGTATTTTTTGTGAAATGTTTGATGCCAAGAAAACCCTTCAGTTGTTGAAGGCCAATGGTGATGGCAGCTCCACCCATAAAACCGACAACAGCGGCATGGGAAAGGAAGTCAATTAGGAAACCCAATCTGATCCAGAAATCCAAAGAAAAAACTCCATTTTAGATGAATTACACTATCAGACATAAACAAGAGACCAGAGTCATGTAGATCTTGGGTTTACCTGAGAACTCCCAGAGTAGCTTGAGTGATCCCTGCAAAAAACGTAGCTGTAAATGCAAGTCTTCGATACTCAGCTGCATTATTCACTGGATCAAATTCATTCTGAAGAAGCGTCCCCAACAAGAGAGACACCACTGCAACAGGTCCTATGGCTATATCTCGTGAACTACCCATAAATGCATACATCAAAGGGGGTACAAAGCTTGAGTCTGCACAGAAGTCAAAACAAAACCCAAACTCAACACCAAGAAGTCTTTTTACAGTAGGCAAATGAAGTTAATTGGTAGATACAAGATAAAGCTTACATAATCCAATCTGAGGAGGTAAATTTGCAAGTCTTGAGTACCCAATATCCTGCTTGATATGTATGTTAAAACCAGTAAGTCATCAAGATTTGGTATTTTGAATATCATCTCATAAACAACATAAACTACCTGAGGAATACAAAGACTTGCAATGGTGAGTCCGGCAATAAGGTCTCCTCTAAACTTTTTAAGATTATAATTCCTACCCCATTCAAGAATGGGAAATATTGCTTGAAGGCCGAGCATAACTTGTCTAGATTTCGGTTGATCTTTAAAGGGGCGTAGGGGGTCATCTGAGAAAAACGTTTCTTCCACAGTGGTTTTGATCTCCTTCAGGAGACCTTGTTTCGGGGGAATTCCAACCTTATGAATATAAGGTACATTCCGTCGTTGACTACTTGAGGAAGAAAACGATCTCGTATCCATGTCCTACGCCTCAGGATTTCAGCAAAGGCAACTTAACAAACTCACCTGCATTTCACCAAAGGTGAGAAGGGTCAAAATTTGAAACTTAGTCAGAAATACAAGATGTCCATCTATTACTTCCGGGCCAAAATGCATAGCATAAAAGAATCAAAGTATTAAGAAGATACATACCCAAAAGCAGCAGAATACAAAAAGTTCTTGAATGTTAACTGATCCAAAGCCTTATGGTGCACTTAAGGAGATTGGGGATGCTTCAGCTTAAATAAGTCATGTAATGGAGTTTGTGGATCACAAATAGTATTAATTTACTTCCGTTCTCAGTAGACTTCCGGGTAAAAAGGTGAAGACATGATTAAGCTTTTGACCACACTAACCCACTTCTGAATTTGCCAAATACTTTAGCTTTGGTCAAACAGTTCTCTTTTCAGATTAAAAACGAATGAATTTGTCTTACATTAGAAAGAAAATAATTGTTATATAACATTTTTAATTGTGACATATAGACAAGTGTACGTGGGTTCTTCAATCATGAACTCAAAGAATATGACAACTTCATGGCATTTGATATCAATCGTGGACCAGTGGCACCAATTTAAAGAACTAATATCCAATGTAGACCTTTTTTCTCGTTTGGTCTCTTTGTTTATTCTCCTCTAGTAACAACCATTGAAAGTTCTGATATCAGTTCAATGTCATAAACTCATAAAGGACAAATCAGCTTCTGCAATGGGAAGTGAAGTGACAATTTGGTAGAATATTTTCATTTTTAGTAATGTTTTATGCTTAAACTTAAAGAAAGAACATAGCACAAGATGCAAACTAGGAGACGATGATTGTGCTATAAAGGCCATATTTTTTATTCCACCATGTGTATTAATCGATAGTCACAATCTAATTTAAAATTTTACATCTCTAGTGCTCTAACTTACTGCAGATTTGGTACAATTCTCATGATACATAAACGCCTACAGAAGTATATTGGCATATGTATATTGGGGTATCTATATTACAATAGAAAACAGTATTTGAGGTTTTCGGGTACCACTAGGCGAATATTCATCTCAACATAGGCCTCCCGTAGGTCTGTAGTGGGCCCTACATGTCGGTTGTAGAAACCGTCTTCCTTTGTGCAAAACCAAAACCTATTTGAGTTTATATATACAACAGGTTCATGCATGATGTACATATATATAATGCATTGATACAAAAAATTGTCATGAGATAAAGTGAAGCAAATATTATATTTACAAGATCAAAAGGGAACTCAAAATCAGACACTAATAAGTACTCCTTAGTCCCACAATTGACTTCGAAATTTCAAACTTTAATGTTTCTAATAAGTAGTTCAAAAGTTGACAATTCTAGAAACCTGTTTTTATTTGATCCTTGTCAAAACATGTAGTAAAAACCTAATCTTATTGACTTTCAATCTGGTTTTGCTAAACAAACTTCAAATCGAAATGTTAAAAAGGGTTTGATTTTGGCATATATAAGAGGGAAACTTACAGGGGTTTATTTAGCCAATAGAGGGTGTTAATCTATATCTATACTATCTTATTAAGCAAGTTTAGCAAAAGTCTTAAGGTCTTAAAATTCTAAATGATCAAAATACCCTTTATGCTTACTTTTTCACTTTTTTATTTTTTCACTTTTTCACTCCCACCTCTTCTCACATACACTCACCCTCTCGCAACCAATTTTTTTAAAATTATAATTTTAAATTTACATTTTATACCCTCATAATTAATTAATTAATTTACTTTACGTCATTTACTTTTAAATGTTTCATTTTAAACCTTTATCAAATTAACATACATAATCATATATCAATTAAAACATGTTTAAAAAATACATTTTTATTTTAACAAGTTACACCATTATAATCGTCTCGTTAATACCTTTGAAATGAGTCTAATATTGAATAGTTTWTGATTTAATTATATTATTATATATTATATATACTGTGAAAAAATATTTTTAATATTTACGATTTATACTTTTATAGTTATTTATTTAAATATATACTTATATATTTTGGGGTTAGGCTGTCCAAATTGCACTGTATAATATGTTTTGAATTAATATGTTTTTGGGTTTTTTTGAAATATATATATACATGTATTAATTCAACCTTAATCTGAGTTTCTGGACAAAAAAGAGGGTAAGCAGTTGAAATTTCATTTTAAAACCCATCTTTTTTTGTCTTTTCATGGCTTATGATCTGTCAAATTTGTAGTTTTCATTATTGGTTTTGAGTGTTTATCTTAAAACTCAAGTTTCTTGGTTTTTTGCTCTTGGTGTAAATCGAATACATTTGTGGAGTTGTTTAAATATGTTGGATTTTAAATATATTGGATTTTAAACTGTCATACAATTTTTTTCATCGATAATCTGTAATTGGAACCATAACTCTTATTTATTCAAATTGTATTAATATATAAAGATCAAATGTAACTTATATCATCGTTAAATCTTATCTTATAAAACCAATGGAACTTCAAAATCGTTAGAATTCATGGCTCCCGCTGCATTGTGCAGGTACACAACTAGTACTAAATTAAGCATAAAAAAGGTCTAAAATCAGTCCTATCACACGATTAAAAGCCAAAAAGTCAGAAACCCTAGAATTAAATAACAACCGTGCTTTTTTCACAGCACACTTGATGGTTCATGCATATACACTTATAATCCACACAGAAACCGCAATAGCATATCATGCATATCAACAATTGAAAAGAAATACTTTACCAATTATGAAGAACCCTCTCAAATCCCGTCTAGGTTCAATGTACCTGTAACAAACAAACACTTTAATGGATCCCCAAATGAATAATGCTCGAAATAGGGTTTCTATATCCCTCTTTCACTTGCAGACTACCATGACTAATTTCCCACCAAAGTTTTAATCGTATTCTTGAATCGGACAAAATGGGTGTTGAAAATTATTAAAGTAATGAGTATGATTTGAAAGCTTATAGTCGTAGCAGGGTTGTGTGATTTGGGCGTGTGGGAGATTGAAGGCCTCTGCTTTTATGGAGGTCGAAGTGGGATTGGGACACCTGAAGAAATCCAAGATAAACATGTGGAAGATGATAACAAATTTGGACATGAAATAAATTCAATCTGGATAACAAATTCATTGAATTCATGGAATTCAAATTCAAATTTGTGGAATTCAGAAAGGTTCGTTCTATGTGCCCTAACAGTTCGCGGGGTAATTTGTTATGCATTTAATATGAACAATCTCCTTTTTTTATACACGGAAAATTCATCAAAATAAACCAACTTTTACCTTATTATTATTTTGAAAAATTAACTTTTAAAATCGTTATTTTGGGGAAATAATTTGTACCTGATTTTTATTTTAGGGAATCAAGTTTTAAAATTGTCATTTTGGGAAGCTAACTTGCACCTGATTTCTATTTTAGGGAACCAACTTGAAAAATAATTATAGAAAAATAACTAAAATTCGTTTTTTTCCAAAAATTAATTCAATAAAATTTATTTTTCATTTCAAATATTGTTTTTTTTTAATTCAGATATCAAATTGAACATTTTTTTAAAAAAATCCAAATTACCACTATAAAAATTGTTTTTACTCATACAAAAAAATCAATTTAATAGACTAAAGTTAATTAATGCAATTGGTTAGATATAAAAATCTTGAATGTGATATTTAATATTTATTTTTTATTGCAACAATTAATTATTTTCTATCAAATTGATTTTTTTTGCCTTGGTAAAAAACAATTTTTATTGTGGTAATTTTGATTTTTTTTTAAATGTTCAATTTAATATCTGAATTTAAAAAAACGAGATTTGAAATGAAAAATAGATTTTATTGCATTATATTTTAGGAAAAAACGAATTTTAGTTATTTTTCTATAATTATTTTGCAAATTAGTTCCCCAAAATAGGAATCAGGTGTAAATTGGTTCTCCAAAATGACGATTTTGAAAGTTGGTTCTTAAAAATAGAAATCATGTGCAAGTTGGTTCCCCAAAATGATGATTTTGAAAGTTAATTCCCCAAAATAAGAACTATGTGAAGGTTGGTTCCATTTTGATGCAATTTTCCTTTTTATATATTTTGAGGTTGAATAAAAAATAAAATAATTAATATTATATTATATTATATTTTTTTTATTAAATGAAAATTCAATCCGTTATGCAAGAAAACTAAGGGGTTGTTTACTAAATGTTTGTTTGGTAAGTGTTTACTGGATAAATTTTCTCATCAGATGAACATCACAAGGGCCAAGAATTTTATCGGGTAAGAGTGATGAGAATGATGGAGAGTCTTACCCTGTAAGTGAAGATGATGACTCTTACCCAGATAAGCGCTTACCCGGTAAATTGTTGCATTCAATACGTTTTGATGTACTAAAATCTTACGCATCAAAATAAACTATAGTGTTGACTCCTACCGGTAATCACTTATTGGGTAAGCATTTGGGTAAACATCCCCTAATTTTAGGACAATCACTTACTTTACAGTTAGCCCGGAGTCACTGTATTTAAACCACGGTGGCTACAAGGGAATTTGTATTCCTCTTTGTATTTGAATCTAAGACCTTCATATAATTTTGACGACCAAGTTTAAACCAATTAAACACCCTCCTATAATTTTATATTATATTTTTAAAAAGTAATCAAATTTTTAAATATTTTTCAATCATGTGTTTGCAAAACCTTTTACTAAACACAAAAAATTGTTGTATTTTGATTTTTAAATTTCAAAATTATATTATACAAAATTAATTTATATTTCATTTATTTCCAAAAAATTAAAGTAGAAAAACAATTAGGGCACAAATTATTTCTTCTTTAAAATCAAATTTAAAGATTTTCCCAATCATATAAAGAAGTAAATAAATTAATGCACATTTTTTTATTCTAAAATGAATTTTGCAAATTAATACATCTTTTTTTCCTAAAATATGATGAATTTTGCAAATTAATACAGATAAAATATGAAGTTTGTACTTAAACATATTATGGTTTAAGTTTGTATACAATCAACAATAACAAACTCT